ACAGAAAGAGATGACAGCCTGTGTCAGCGCTTCAGTGTTGTCCCCATGTTCTTGTGAGAGCAAAGCAGTAACATTAAAATTCCATTCATATTTTGATTGCACAAAATTGTACCATCAATTTTACGCCGTGTCATCAGAATATAAGTATTTTATTTTTGGGATATTGTGCAATCAAGTAAAAAACCTGCAAAGTTTTTGTAAATAGAGCACCAAAAGTGACACTGCATCTTTAAGAAACCGGAGTCTGACTGTGTTTTTGTCAAACAAAAGCAGCCAATTGGGAACATGCAATCTGAAACCAGAAGCCTGGCTCAGAGGGCCTCACACAGACCTCAGAGAGCAGGGACACACCCCGAGTACTCCTGATTCATACAGGCATGGAGCCACAGCCAGCTATCTAACCATTCACTGCAAACCCATCTACAAAGAGAGGAAGCCAGTCTTCAATGGAGCCAAAAGGATCCGATTGTTGAGACTTTTAAATGCATACTTTGAAAAAATAACAGTAAAACCAGAAGCCTACAGGGAGACAAAAGTATAAGTTAAAATAGAAATTGCATCCATAAAGATTTGTGTGGAGACACAGCCGTGTAGATGGGAGGTACGATGCCATTTCTTTGTATAAACAACTGGAAGGAATAGATACAGATCATGTGCTATTGTTCTGCTTTAGCTACCCTAAAACCAGTGACATATATAAATACAGTGACATAAACTGGTGAGGAACAATGAACATATTCTACATCTGACCACCTGTTCTGACACCTGTGCCAAGATGTTACTTTTAAATGACGGGGGGATAAATGTGCAATTATTTTTCAAAACATCAAATTCACATTATTTAAAGTATATTGCTCTTATTACATTTACTTGCAAGATTGGGTTGAAAAAGGTCAAAACCAGACTTCTGGAATCATTTATGTTCAATTTGTTAAATTGTAGTTTGTCCATTTTCCCTTTTGTTAATCAGTTTTGATGTTTAGAGAGACTACTGGGACATTTATGCTTATGTTGTTTAGGGTAGTTTTACTACAATGGTGATTATTAAAATATATTTCATTCAAATTTACATTTCTGTTATCACATGACTATTCATTGTCAAGAAGTGAGACCCGAGTTTGAGGTGACATGAAATTACTTGTCCATGACTCCATACTGACACAAGCAGACTGAATAAATAACTTACCATAGCTGTATTAATTCCATTTACACTTTCAAAAGTTACTTCTTTGAAGAAACAACCCATAAAATAATTGGTACTTTTTCACCATCGTGGTGTGTGAAAACACGGTAGTTCCTTACTGACAATAGCAGGCGAGCAAACGAGGGATTATTCTAGAGGTGTGTGATGCCTTTCCTGCAATGAAGTTCCTCACACTCTATTCCGAGTGAATGCAGGTGACTCGGGGAGCCTGAGCTGATCCCAGAATTCCTCATTATCTGCCCAGCAGGGGGGATCAGGTCCGCTCGCTCCGTCTCGGAGCATGCTTGGCCCGATGAGACGAGCCCCAGAGGAGCACAGCACTGGGCCATCAGGGGCAAGCCAGGTCTGCTCATTATATCTAACTCATCCTTGGCATCTCTGCAAACCAAGTGCCACTTAGTTCCCACAGGAGGGGTCTGAGCTGGACCTCTGATGAGATGGCAGAGCAAACAGCAGAATGATGATAGGAACAGCTTTACATCAAAAGACATGTGGATGGAGGCATAAGATCCAATTGCCAAACTACATATTTGGGTCCTTAACGTATTGAGTCAATTTTAAAGGGAGACTTGAACTGAATGGTTTGATTACTGGTCCTGCAACTTTTTATTAGAAAACATTAGCTGTAATATAATGACTATTATAAACTATTGATCTTTCCTAACGTCCCTACCAGAAAGACACTAAGAAATGGGACTAATGTTAATAAATATGCTGAAGTATTAGCATAGTTGTCTACAGTTGGCATAAAATCTGGTTTGCTTCTGCTCGACAGTAACTGGTAGATATTTGACAATGATATTTAGCTTGCTGAGTAGAGCAAATACATAACCCAATGAATAAACATACAATTTGAGTGAAGCGTGTTGTGTCACTTATCAACTCTATTTCTAGGATAAATGAATGCAGCCGCGCACAGCAGGTAAATTATGCAAGTGCCACATCTTGGGCCTTTGGCTAGGCGGCGGTGTCGTCCATTTTGAATTACTTTTTTTTTTTTTTAAAAGCATATTCTGCTAAGTAAACTGCAGCACTAGTGAAGCAGTAAATGCAGATGTAGTGTCTTCCAGTGCTGCCACAATTAGCCTCAGACAAAAGGCGCAGTGCCAGCCAACACTGGTCTCGGCACATTCGAAGCCCTTCAGGTAAACACCACAATAGGCTAAGAAGCAGAAATTAGAAATTGTTTTGTACTGCAACACGGTTGCTATAGTGATTGTTGCTAATTAACTGCACTCTATCCCAGGATAACAAAGGGCTTAAGGGCACTCAGGGCAGCTCTTGTGATGAGCTCTGTGTATGGAACACTATGCCATCCCCAGAGTCTCTAAACTACAAAATACCTGTCTTCTTTTTGCCACCATTTACTTCAGATGCCATGAGAGGTTTTCTTTGGCACTGGGTGTGTTTTAAGGGCTGCAACCGTAGCTTGCATCACGAATGGAAAAATTCTTTGTCGTTTTATGTTAAAGACAGACAAACATATCAAAATGAATGTTAAATTCACTGGAGTCTTCAATGGCATCAAAATCACAATCAAATTAGTCAAAATATTCCCACGAAAGACGGGTAATTATACCCGTCTTTTGCCAAACGGGTATAATTACAAACTGTTGAATTTGACTTTCTAAAAGCAATGAAAAAGTTATTAGTTTATCTCAGTCAGGTAGCCTACAGTATGCAGCAACAGGTGATAAAAGTTTACCTCAAAACAACTCTGCAGAAGTTTTATTTATTCTTATAAATGCAGCCCAATGTTCAACTTCATCTCTTTTTTAACAACATGAAATCAGGGCCATTTTTAGAAAGTGTAACCAAAGGTCTGCTAAATCAAACAAGGAAAAAAAAAAAAAGTCAAGCCAAAACAGTCACTCTCAGTGATTTAAGAGAACAAGAAATGTGGAACAAAATGTCCAAACTCATAACAACTCTAATTTCACTGACATTTTAAAAAAAGGTAATTTAATGGAGCACTCTGATTCAGAACTGTCAGCAGCAGCGCTGTCATGTTTTACTGGCTTCTTTACACAATCTAAAGGGCTCAATGACAAATTGTCTACAATTTTGAGCACATACTGGATTCTTTTAACAATGCTCCTCACACAAAACAGATTGTTTTTGTTATAACAGTAGACGGATATCTACTTGATGGAGGTTGGGAATAGGTTATATTTTCTGTTATAAGACTGCTGCAAAAACGCAGTGATAGTTGCAAAGCTGAAATGACAAGCACCCAGTAGTTTGCAACACATCGCCACCAAATTTTGATTTACAGAGACAGTGTACAATGGCATCATCAATAACAAAATAAGTGCTCAAAAACATCCCCATTTTTTTTTAATCTAGGTATTATTTTTGCCATTTTCATTTTGCGCTTCTGTCTCCTCACCCAACAATGTTTTAAAAAAAAAAAAAAAAAAAAAAAAAAAACACTGTACTGGTGCCTCTTACAGTCTTCATGCTGTAAGAAAGGGACACAGCCTGAGGCCACTGCTACTGGCGGGACATCTGTAACTAGATCCAGAGCACATCTGGTAGGACAAACCTCCGAACAACGATGCAGATGTCTCCTCAGCAAGAACCAGAAATGTAAAAAAAAAAATGTCTTTCAGCTTGTTTCAAAACACAAATGTTTTCTGAAACAAAAAGAGACACATCTGGCAGGGTATAATTATTATGTATGCAATTTAAATTGGATTATTTAAGTTGACGAGTTGCAATTATGTCAGAAAGGGCATGTGAATATTGTTACATGATTTTTTTTTTTTTTTTACACTAGTATTAAGCAGAAACATGCCCTCCTTTTAGGATTGTTTATTTGTAACTAGAATAAAATTAACCTGCTTTTATCCACAGCAGAAAGCCGGATTTATGGGCAGTTACACTCTGTTTGGGTTGGAGAAGCTGGAGGAAAGGACAGTGGGGAGGGAGGTGTTGTCTGAGCTTACATCTTTGTAGTGGCCACTGAGAGGTCTCAATGCAACTCGTGAAATTTACATTTTGTTTGGCCGGAGGGGTCGCATGACAGCTGCAAGCTACTGCTCAGCGGGATTTTCTGCTTTCACTTCACACTGACAGGCTGAGAGACAGTCCAACATCACAAAAAGAAATATTCCCTCTTTCCATGACATCACCCAGCCAGGAACGGGGAGGGAGGAGTGGAGGGCGAAGCAAAGAGAGGGGGTACAGCTGGTGGCAGCTGTGGTACCATCTGCTTCTGGCTAATAGTTCATGTTGCTTTACTCATAAACTTGCACTCATGTGAACCATGTAGTTTGGCTGTATGGTCACCAATGCATCATATTTTACTGAAAAGCACAGCTAAGGATCTAAGAACAATATTTGGAAAATACCAATGCTCACTTTTTGGACACAGATACAGACACTAGGTCTTAAGAGGAACACAAATGTGGCTGAATGTATAGTGTGTGTATAACCTTTCCCTTTCCTATGATCTAGAAACAACCTGAAAAACAAACAAAAACAAAAAAAAAAAAAGAAAAATCAAGAAATGTTTTAATTAATTCCTAGGACAAAAATGAGATAAAACCTTTCATAGCGGTAACCAGCAGATTTCATGCCCATCTGATGGAGCCGATTCACTCTTAATGGTAAGCTTATGATGTTTTTGCCTCTAGCTTTCAGATGAAGAAAAGATTGTCATGTTGATATTATCAACCAGATTCCCAAAAAAGGAAAGAAAAGACAGTCCAAAACACAAAGCCCATTTTTCTTAGATTACAGAAAAACAGATGCTCTGAAGCTTAGTCTTAAAGTCACACACATCCGTACTTACCATACATCTTTCCCTCATCTGACAGGATGATCTTCCTGCGACCACATGGAGGATAGATGGCCAGGGCTTCCTGGAAGCTCTGCTCTATGTCAGGACTCCAGACCCCTTCGGCATCGTTGTCCACAGGCTTGTCCGCCGAGTCGCTCATCCGTTCCATGTCCTCGGCAGGGCTCTCGCTGCCGCTCCAGCTGCTCGGATCAATCTTGGCGGTTGGGCTCTCCAAGCTGAAGCCTGGAGCAGACTAGGGAGAGACCTGGAATTCCCAAACCAACACAGAGACCCAGTCATCATTAAACAAAGTACAGCTGAAGAGCTCTGTTTGCAACAGTGCACAGTACTAGTTAGTGTTAGTTTCTGGAAAAATAACAGAAAATCAAGTACAGACAGACAATCACGCTGATTCGACTAGAAGATGGTGATTTCGATTTTTGGGGGATTTTAACATGTACATGCAATAACTATAGAGTAATCATAGATATAGAGTGTGATGATGGGCAGAAATCAAGTAGACCAGCATGCAGCTTTCACTGTATACCAAGGAACTATTTAGAACAGCAAAAAATGCGGTTTTAATATGTTATTAATTATGTAAACCAGTAGATCCTCAAAGTAATCCCATTTTGTGATTAATTAGATTTTCCTCATTTAATATAATATCAAAAATCAACATGTGGTACATTCATGACCTTTGCCTGAAGTTCTACTAAAGGTGTGTGAGATAAGAATTGTATAAGCAGCAGAGAGATGTATATCTCATGAGTTATACAATACATAATGAAAAAGTATGATTTATTCTAAGTGTTTTTTATCATTCCATATTTATTAGAAACTGCAGTATTTTAACTTCAGACATTTTAAAGTTTTAAAGAACACCTTTATGCTTTATTTCTCGATCCCCCCCTTTTTTCTTTTTTGTATTTAACCTTAGAGCTATGATCCTAAACAACAGTGGCAGAGAACACTACTGATTAAAGTGTGTAAATAAATTGCTAATAAATAAATTAAACATTGGAAAAATGACCAAACACATTACACCCATCTTATCAAATAATGACTAATATTTGTCTGAAAACAGATTTGTTTTTAGATTTTTCTAGAACTTTTTAAAACATTTGGACATTCAAGTACTTAAAAACCCCTATTTATCTCTTTGGGTTCATGAAACTAAATGCTGCTGTAGTTGCCTTTCGGCAGAGAGGAAGAAACTGGAGCAAGCTCCAGCAGAAAGATGTGTGGCGAGAGGTGAAGAGTATCACAGGCTTCGGGTAGGAGGAGGATCAGATGGATGGAGGTCTGGACGGAGTCAATGAGCTGAACACATTCTTCAATGGGTTCAGTTCAGCAACAAGCTCATGATCCTCCTCATCTGCCCCCAGCCAAACAGGCATCCTACCCTGCTGTAGGGCTGGAGCAATACACTAATCTCACAATAAAATACAATACGTTATTCTGCTCACGATACGATATATATCAATATTCAGTAAACTATATGATTCGATACGATTTGATACATTTTTTAAGATTTTCTGAAAGATTTTAGAGGGACAGAGTGAGACATTTTGGGACTGTTCTATAGACTTGGATTGAATTAATTGAACTGATGTAATGCAATAAATGTTTTTGTTATACATTTGCTGTGCATTTGCTTTGTTTAAATGTTAATTGTGTGGCTTTGTGTTTTTGGTTATGCAGGAAAGGAACCTTTTTTGTCTTATTCATTTATATTAGATAATGTACTTTATTCATTTCATTTCATCAATTAATTGTAACTGGTTGTTTCATTACATGTCGTTTTTAATGTAGATGTGCAACTGAGTAAAAAATGCTGTGTGACAGCTGTCATTTAATTCATGTGTATTTGACATAAAACTCAAAGTAGGATTGTATCGATGTATAAATAATCGTGGATGAAAAGTCAATACTTTGAGGGGAAAAAAAATATTGATAAATATCATAGAATCAATAAAATCACACAGCCCTACCCTCCTTTCACCCACAGCTTTCCCGACACACCTCAAATGTTTTATGTCCACCTCAGCCATAGGTTCTTCCTCTTCTACATTTTGTCTTCAATCCAATCAGGAGATGCTGCTGCTCCCTTTCCCTCCCTCTTCCACTTGTCTGTCAGGTGAAGAGGCAGCTGGAAAGACTAAACTGAAACAAGACTGCAGGCCCAGATGATGTCAATGCCAGACAGAGTCTTGACAGCCTGTGCAGAGCAGCTCTGTGGGATTCTGCAGAACCTCTTCAACCTCAGTTTGACCCAGGAGAAGGTTACAGTTTTGTGGAAGACATCCTGCCTTGCTCCGGACCACAGAAAGCTCACCCATTTATCCACAATGACTACAGACATGTTGCCCTGACATCCCATATTATGACGATCCTGCAGAGACTCCTGTTGGCCCACTTGGGTAAGCAAACAGGCACATATCAGGAGCCTCTGCAGTTTTATTGCCATGGAGTTAGAATTAAAGATGCAATCACACACACCTGCTTCAATAAATCCAATGCCATTTTGACAAAGCAGGGAGCGCAGTGAGGATCACGTTGTTTGATTTATCCAGTATATTTAACACAATTCAACCTGATTTGCATTTTCAAAACCTCCAGAAGTCGCAGGTGGAGGCCTCAACAATCACCTGGCACATATACCACACTAAAGGGTCTAAAGAGTCATGTGTTTGGCCAAGTGGTCAGCAGCACAGAAGCACCACAGGGGACTGTACTCTCACCTCAGATTTCCAGCACAAGACACAGTCCTGACATCTGCAGAAATACTCGGACTCAAGGATCTTAGTAAGTCATTGACTTTTGTCAACTGGCATTAAACTGAATTTGACTACATTGTCATATAATTAGGATCAAACTGGGATGTATGCAGAGCAGCCGCCCAGTATGCAAAGGCTGTTAGTCCTCTGTGTATGGTTTAACTGGCCATTTCTACCCATTTCCTGTCTGATCTGCTGCAATTAAAAGGCCACCAGTTCCAGAAAAACATTTTAAAAATTTGAAATGTATGTAGTAAACGGAAATCTGCCTATATACAGTAATTGAAATATCTTAGCCTGATTTGATTACATATTTATCAATGGGGCTTGTTCGTGCTGAGATGAAATTTGCTCTGAATTGTCATGATTTAAATAAACCAGATTCAATCCACCATCATCGTTTTAAAAGCATATAGGAGCCATGCTTTGTGTATTTCATAAACCAGAGTGGGGCCCAGACTTTCACTCTAGAAACCATTGCTTTACACCAGATTGGATTATGTGTGAATAAAGAAATGGTACTAACTTTTCAAAAATACAGGCCTTTAGCATAAATGAAGAAAAATGTAATTTCCTAGAAGGCAAGTTTTTTAAACCTACTCCAGGTAACAAGTTCTTAGGTATTAATGAATTAATTTACTTCTAATTGACCAATCACTCTCAAGGGATTACTGGCTGCATCATCCACACTTGTTACCCCTGCAATTTCCAAATCAATGCAGCCGTCTTTACTATATTTGTTTCCACTTCATACGGACTGTGCAAACTGAAATGTTATTTAGCCTTCTCATCTATTTTTTCAGCTAAACATACAACACAGAAGATTGCATATTGGGCTGTGAGCTCAGTTAAACATCTGGGGTGCAGAGGCTGAATGATTTAGCTATTAACATCGAGGAAAATCTCACAATGTTATCACAATGTGTTCTGATTTTATCACCATAAATTGTATAATGCATAAGAAAGACTTCATTAAAAATATTACTGCTCTGGCTGTCAACCAGTTACTGCCCTTTAAAAAAAAATACTTCGATTTAGTCCATTTGATATCAATGCACCGATATCAGTTTCAGTTCTTAATCTTCCCTGTTTTCCAGACAACTGCTTCCTCCCAAAGCAAGATCCCACTGAAGCAGTGCAAACTGTCAGGAAGCAGGAATAGTAGCATATGTTTCTTCCAACATGTCAGTGGATGAGGGGGAAGGGGGGATGGGAGCAAGCTGTTGAGGGGAAAAAAAACCTCCCAGAGAGCAGAGGGAGCTTTTACTGAATTCCGTTTTTGTGTGGTGTCTGCTGACGCTGCAGAACTAACAAACTGATGAGGGAGGGGAAACATTCCCATTTCAACCACTAAAAGCCAGGGACTTTTTCTAGATCTCTGCCTTTCATGCAAAGAAAAAAAATCATGAACTGAGCTTCTAATCAAATCCAGCTTCCATTTTAGAGCAAAGTCTGAATTTAAAAAAAGTATGTTTGCATGCACTATAGCCTAATATAAAATATCACTTAAGTGCTGAAAGAAACTTTTTGGAAAAAGATTTTCCACCTTAAGTACGGATAAACTAAGTTTCATATCCTATGTCATTGGTAAGATTAATGTATTGTACTGTTATTCTCACATGGAATGGGTTTTCTTTCTATAAATGAAAAAAGCAGGTAAGGAGAGTCACTTCACTGAAGAGGTGCAAGAGACATACAGCTAAACTCTCATGTTCACCTCGGATTTTTAAATGTTTAAACAGTCTTTGCATATTTGAATTTGAAATACTTGAATACTTCACTTGAATATCTTGAAAAATAGCAATTAGCCTTATATAGGTAAGGTGGAAACACTGGAACGCATTCCTGAACACGTGAATGGCTTTCTGGGAGCATGTGAATTGTGTGAGAGGATTTGGGGGGGGGTTCAAAATTAATACAAATGTTTTAACAAAACAAATATTTCTGAAAGAAGTGCAAGATAAAGGAAAATGGCCAAACCACTGCACTGAGCATGTAGTTTTTGCTTCTCTTTGCTGTACGTTTACTTTTATGAGTGCAATAAGATATGTCCTTATTAGCAATACAACTTTTAAATCGCAACTTACTGAAAATAGTTTTAAATGGATGTAATCGATTCCAATGTCTCAAATTTGTTGTTGAATTTTAACAAAAGAAGCCATTTTGAAGTTTTGTTGCCATTGATGTGTGGCTTTTGCCCTTGCAACAATGGAAATGTAACAAGTCAAGTGATTATTTGAAGAAGATGGGTTCTGTTTTAGCGACTTTTTTTTTTAGTATTGAAACTCATCAACTATAACCAGCGGGATATAAGCTGCAGGTTCACTTTGCAGTTCCGGTTGTTCTCCCACTTCTAGGTCAATAGTCTGCTTTTACAAAAGCTAAACACTATAACAGTTCAATGCACTATCAACAGATAACCACAATCACAACATGACTCTCAGCATGATCAGTCTTAATGGTTTCATAAGAGTAAAACCAACAT